GCTTTTAAAACTGACATTTGAAAGCTCTGGACATATTTGTGACCCTACACGCGGAACGATGCATGCATTTTTGCGCCTATGCTGGGTGTGGGTGGGTTCTGGGATAGAAAATAGGGTATAAGGCAAATGCACTTTGCATAGACGAAATGTTTGCACGGTAAGAAAATAAAGAGCCTTTTAGTTCAATGCCTCTACCAATTACATTTACCTGCTTCTACCATGATAACTGAAATCCTTCCCATGCCTATGTAAAATACTCGATTTAGAGTCAGTGTAACGAACACTGTAACTTCTTTATTGATATTTCTTTTTTAGGCAAGGGGAAAATACACACATCTCTGCAGCAAATATACTGCATACAGATGTAAAAAGAGCCGAAAATTACATAAACACTTCTAACATTTTCTTGTGCTAAGCATTAAGTCATCGCTATCACCTGACGTGTGTAAACCAATCTGCGGAGAGGAGAATGCGCACCCCCCTCCCACTCCCTAGTACTGGTCCCAAACAGGATTGAACCGCTTCTAACAAAGGGTGGAAACTTCAGAAAAACAAGCTTAGTCTCCTATACTTCCACTATGCAACCTTTCAAACAATAGATGAATAAGCAGAAGACCCACTCCTCTCTTTAAAATGGCTTTTTCCTAACCTAAATCAGATCCTTTTCTACAGTACTTTTCATTTCCATTGGGGCTGGCACAAGAGGCTTCATTGAATGCAGATTCCAGAAGTCCTTAACTTAGAAATGATGGTCTAATTATATAATAATGGACTCTAAGTGGCCTTTCAGACAGACTTCTTTACAGCTGTCTCACTGACATACAGTGTATTAAAAAAATCTGTTCTTTTACTAACTTTGTTTAAAGCCAAGGAAAGAAAAAAACCACACGTGGAGTGCTGACTGCATATGTCAAAATAAACCACATGGAATCCTTTATCTGCCAACAATTACCCATCACTGAAGGGTTATCAGATATATTATTTGAAAATTGGAATTGTTTCCATAAATGTCAAAAGCAGAAGTCTATGCATTAATTCATCTCAGTACTTATGACGAGATTACAAAAAAAAATTATTTACACATCTGATTTCTGACTCTGTTTTTTCTTAATATCTCAAGGGAAGCAAAAAATCTTCTAATGTCTAGCAAATCCATAGGACAAAAGTATGTTTACATTAAAAATGAAACCCTCACGTATTGAAAGTGCGCATGAAAGAGGCTCTGTTTAAGAGCAGGTAGTTGGGAAAAGTCTTGTTTGTATGCACTTTACAGCTGCATCTCAGTACAATTTTAACAGTAAATGTACATACAATCAAATACAAAGCCGTACCTACTTGCATCCAAAATGACTGTATATAATTTCGACTAGAGTAATACAATGACTTACCTCTTTCGTGCCCAATTAAGATGTCTTTATGGTTGAAATATTCTACTTCTTCAGTGTAATTCTGTGTATAGGCAGTGTTGGATCCAGCATTTCTAGATTCTGTCCAGCGTACTTTTGCATGTCCTCTTGCATGAATTTTAAGAGATTTTACTCTTATTTCCCCAGTAACTTCTAAATTGACCCTTCCTGAGACTGTGTCCCCACTAGAATAGACGGGGACATTGCTGTCATTGAGACAGTCAAAGCTTATTGTCAAACTCTTCACCTTCCCCAGCACCATGTTTTATAACAAAGTCTATAAAAATATATTGTAAGAAAAAAACAACAAAAGTCAAGATCTCATAAAATGCGATCTTCACTTTACACTGATCAATGCCTCTGCCGTGCAAGAAGCTTGCCGGCAGGATCAGTGTATTCTCTACAAACACTTCATTGGGATTGCTAAAAAGTAACAGCACTAGATGCTGTTCGTAGCTACTACCCAGCTCTGTGGTCTCTGTACAAAGACGGACTGGTTGCAGCCAGCCAGCTCACTTAAGACTAGCTTTGTGAAAAACAAGCGGAGTGCGCATGAGCGGGCTGCTGCTGCTTCTCTTCCTTATAGGTGTAGCAGAGAAGACGAGCCTGCTGTGGAACAGAAGCTAGCGTCTACTCCATTCTGTCTCCCGTAGTGTGTCCGCTACCCTAAACTCTTTAAACGGGATGCAGATTTGTACCAAATAACCTCTAATACCAGGCATAGAGCATTATATTATAGCCGTAGGAATAGAGAGAAATGGGGGACTGAGAGCTAATGCTTCAAACAGCTGATAGAGAACACAGCCACAAGCCCAAACCTCCCAAAGTGTTTGCTTCTGGGAAGTACTGTGCTGGAATGGGAGTGAGAGAGGTTAGAGGGAAATAAGGCACATATCGAGGGATCTGGGACATCTTTCATCCCAAAGAGGAGCTTGTTCAATGACTATATCTGGTGCATTCCAGAAAGCAAAATATTTTGCTCTTCAAAGCATTTCAGCTGGAAATAAAAGACCATCTTGGCAGAAAATGGGATGAAATCCACCAGCTTCAGTGAAATCTCTCTTGCATCCCTCCCATTCCTTTCAATCTGGTCCTGGAAACCAAGAGAGGCACCCCACAAAATTTCAACCTATTCCATTGGAAATTTCTCTTACCTCTCCTGTATTTTTAAAGTTGATATTTAACAGGAAAAAGAGGGGAAGGGGGAATCTTTAGCCTCAGTGCTTCCCTCCTATATACAATTAGGCCAATTACAGACACCAGCTGCATTTTTTTGGTTCAGATTATTTCCACTTCTGTATGCTGTGCCACCTGTAGAAATACAGCAGAGTTTAAAACCCTTCAAAAAGGTTTGGCTAAGTATATTACAGAGAGAATTTTGTAAAATAAACATTCTGTGAGAATTGGTGCAACTTTGTATATAGATAAAAGAACAAAAAGGTTAAATACTGACAACAAGAGAATATTGTCATTGCTTGACCAAATTGTCTAGATTAAATTAAATGCTACATTTCTTTTCCAAGTTCCTTGTTTATTGAAATAAGCAATTCATTATGATATATAATTTAATTGGTTAATATTAAACAGATTAATTTGTGTTGACAGTTATGGTTGTGTAAATTCTGTATCTAAAATAAAGTTCAGAGAAACAGTTTTGCTTTGTAGTATTGTGCCAATATATTATTTTCTTAAGGAAGTTTTTCAAATTTTCCTTTGGCAGACACCTGGTGGAAATTCTTTTGCTTTTTAGTCTTCTAGTGTCTTAATACATTTTATGTTTCTGCACCATCTTGTGGCAAATAGGGGAAATTTTCACAGGCACTTTGCAATGGTACTTCATTTCTTTTTGACACTGTGGTTTTGTTCCCCTACTCACAAATATGTGTGCAAAGGCTCCTTTCCAGGTACAGATCTTCCTTCCCCTGTGGAGTGAGATGATCGTCTGCTTCAGTGGGTCTGTTCTCCTCTGCTTCAGCTACCCCAGACTAACACGGCTACATTTCTATCACTGTTCTCCTCTGTTAGTTTTCAGAATCCCATCAATAAGTCTCTAGTCTGCTGTAGGACTGTTTGGCCCATATATACGCTTACCTCTATGCACCCTCCTACAAAAATCCAGCAGAAAAGTTAATAAACTTGGTGGCTGTGTCTAGACTGGCCAGTTTTTCTGGAAAATCAGCCGCTTTTCCGGAAAAACTTGCCAGCTGTCTACAATGGCCGTTTGAATTTCCGCAAAAGCACTGACTTCCTACTGTAAGAAATCGGTGCTTTCTGCAGAAATACTATGTTGCTCCCATTGGGGCAAAAGTCCCTTTTGCGCAAAACTTTTGCTCAAAAGGGCCAGTGTAGACAGCTGAGATTTGTTTTGCGCAAAAAAGCCCCGATTGCGAAAATGGCGGAAGGAAAAAAGTGCTTTTGCGGAAAAGCGTCCATGCCAATCTAGACGCTCTGTTCTGATAATGCTTTTAACAGAAAACGTTTCCGTTAAAAGCATTTCCGGAAAATCATGCCAGTCTAGACGTAGCCGGTCCGTGTTTTCTTTTGTTATATCTTTCCTGAGATATTGGGGGCAACCATGACCTAGAGTAGTCCATGTAGCTGAGCCTCAAGGCACTAGCCTCTTGCAGATCCTCTGGGGTTTGAGAGCAGGTCAGGTTTGAGAGAAAAGCTGAAGTACTCAATGATTTTTTGCATCTGTTTTCACAGAAAAGGTCACCTCCCAGACTACTGTACTAGGCAACACAGTATGGGAAAGAAGTGGGGAAAGAACAGGTGAGTGCTAACAGGGAGTTTTGAGAGGGAGTTCTCCAGGTGAAGGAGAAGCAGATACAGGACTCTTGAGGGAAGTGTGTTTTGTTATTGGGGCTTTCTTACTGTGTGCTGAGCTTGTGTTTGTTTGGTGTGTGGTGGTGGTGGGTTTTCTCCCCCCCCGCCTGTTTGAGTGAGGCTTTAGAGAGGGAGTTCTCCAGGTAGAGGAGAAGCAGATACAGGAGTCTTGAGGGAAGTGGGTGTTGTGTTTGGGGCTTTCTTGCTGTGTGCTGAGCTTGTGTTTGTTTGGTGTGTGGTGGTGGTGGGTTTTCTCCCCCCCCGCCTGTTTGAGTGAGGCTTTAGAGAGGGAGTTCTCCAGGTAGAGGAGAAGCAGATACAGGAGTCTTGAGGGAAGTGGGTGTTGTGTTTGGGGCTTTCTTGCTGTGTGCTGAGCTTGTGTTTGTTTGGTGTGTGGTGGTGGTGGGTTTTCTCCCCCCCCGCCTGTTTGAGTGAGGCTTTAGAGAGGGAGTTCTCCAGGTAGAGGAGAAGCAGATACAGGAGTCTTGAGGGAAGTGGGTGTTGTGTTTGGGGCTTTCTTGCTGTGTGCTGAGCTTGTGTTTGTTTGGTGTGTGGTGGTGGTGGGTTTTCTCCCCCCCCTGAGTGAGGCTTTAGAGAGGGAGTTCTCCAGGTAGAGGAGAAGCAGATACAGGAGTCTTGAGGGAAGTGGGTGTTGTGTTTGGGGCTTTCTTGCTGTGTGCTGAGCTTGTGTTTGTGAGTGAGGGTTGGTGTGTGGTTTTTTTTTCCTCTTCTCTCTCTCTGTGTTTGTGAGTGAGGCTTTAGAGAGGGAGTTTCTCCAGGTAGAGGAGAAGATGATACAGGACTCTTGAGGGAAGTGTGTGTCGTGTTTGGGGCTTTCTTGCTGTGTGCTGAGCTTGTGTTTGTGGGTTGGTGTGTATTCTTTTTTTGTTTTTGTTTGTTTTTTCCCCTGTGTTTGTAAGAAAGGCTTTTTTTTTTTTTTTGCTTTTTTTTCCTCCACTTCCCTTTGCTCTCCCCTTCCCCTTCATGGAATGTGTGCTGTGATTGGCTGGCGGAAACTGTTGGCTTCTAATTAAAGTTTGAATTCTAGAAGCCTCTGCTGATTGGCTGAGCCTTGGTAGGGAGAGGGACTTTATAAGGCAGTGGGCAAGTGACCAAGGAGCTTGCGAACAGGTGAGTGCTAACAGGGAGTTTTGAGAGGGAGTTCTCCAGGTGAAGGAGAAGCAGATACAGGACTCTTCAGGGAAGTGTGTTTTGTTATTGGGGCTTTCTTACTGTGTGCTGAGCTTGTGTTTGTTTGGTGTGTGGTGGTGGTGGGTTTTCTCCCCCCCCGCCTGTTTGAGTGAGGCTTTAGAGAGGGAGCTCTCCAGGTAGAGGAGAAGCAAAGTTTAAAGGAGCAAACAACAGCATTGATGTTGTGGTTGGTGTTTGCTACAGGCCACCGAATCAGGTGGATGAGGTAGATGAGGCTTTCTTTGGACAACTGAGCGAAGCTTCTAGATCGCAGGCCCTGGTTCTCTTGGGAGACTTTAATCACCCTGACATCTGCTGGGAAACCTATACGGCAGTACACAGGCAATCCAGGAAGTTTTTGGAGAATGTTGGGGAGAACTTCTTGACACAAGTGCTGAAGGATCCGACCAGGGGCCGTGCGCAGCTTGACCTTCTGCTCACAAACGGGGAGGAACTAATAGGGGAAGTGGAGGTGGGTGACAACCTGGGAAGCAGTGATCATGAGATGGTAGATTTCAGGATCCTGACCAAAGGAAGAAAAGAGAGTA